AGAATTTTTTCTTTCTAGTCTTCCATTGAACTGGAGGAGGGTTGCTTTCCCCCAATACCTGTCAGTCCTAAAATATATAACATCTGTGAAAGTTTTGAATCAGTAAAAAATAAGGCCCACTTTGCAGGTTTCCCTCCCTCACAAGATGAACTACAGACCTTGGTGGTTCTCCCTGGAAGTAGGCATGTTCCCATGTTTAATAGTGGCCCTGTTGTTCTAGTAAGGACTTCTCTGCTAACTAAGCAATCTGTGCATATCTCCATATACTTTTTAACCTTTTGGATGACCTCTTCTGTAACCTGCTTGTGCATATCCTATGCCAATATTTTTCTTGTTAATTTGCTGAAGTTCTTTTTATGTTCTACGTATTAACTCAGTTTTATATTCCATCCTATCATTTGTCAATTAAAGATATCTATTTAACAAGGGGACACTATTCCTTGTTGACCAGGTATATTGCTTTTGATGTAAACAAACTCACTGTTTTGTTTTGTTTTATTTTGGTTTTTTGACTTTTAGTTTATGGTATTTCTTTAAGAAATCTTTCCCTGCCCTTAAGCCATTTGCTTACATATTCTTTTCATTCATGCATATATTTATCTTTCATAGTTAGATATTTAATAATATCCCTGGACTCTATCTTTTTATGTAGGATTAATAAGAGATCCAGTTTTATTTTTTTCATGTTGTAAGCCAGTTTTTCTAACACCATCTATTAAACAAATCATTGTTTTCCCCTGATTTGTGGTACCATCTTTATTATATATTTTGGAAAATCTTGTATATTTGGAAAATATTTTATGGTAGAAATGAACAATCCCTCAACAAATTGATGTAACTTACCTATAATACCATCTAAGACTGTGGTTTTTTACTAGTTTACTCAAGTATTCTGTTTTTGCTGCCCAATTTGTCCATTTTTATCTATTTTTTCTGGAAATTTAGTTGTTTCTTTTAAGTTTTTCAAATCTATTAGTGTATGTTGGACTTTGAACATATACATATAGACATTATAATGCTCTTACTCTTTTTATAATCTCTGTGGTGTCTTAATTATTCATCATTTTATTATGTTTTTTTTAACTAAGTGTACTCTCTCTTTTTTCCTTGATCAGTCTTGTTAGAGGCCTTTTTAAGAAATTTTTTTCAAAGAACCAAGTATTTGGTTTTGTTGCTTTTTTTTTCATTATTGACTTCTGCTCTGAAACTTATATCCCTCTGTAATAGGTGTTTGATTGTTAGAACATTCAGTTCTTCCAGAGAAGACAAGGAAAGTAAATGAGAGGTATGAATAATAAGTAGATTAGCAACCTGTGAGATACACTAGATGTAGAATAATTTGAATAGAGCATTTGTGTGTTTAACATAGACTATAAGATATGGAGGAACCACAAGACACAAAGTATATATGCTATACTAAAGATACCAAGGCATACAAACCCCAATATTAATGGTACCCTACATATGCATGAGGCTTCTAAGACATTCAATAATCATGAGATTAAATATACTGCCCACATGACATCTATCCTAGTTCCTGTGCCCTCTGCCCAAGAAATACAGATAAAACCCATAGCTGTTAATTGTGGTCATTGGCAAGCTGCGACTGTAGCCATGAGTCCTGCATCTCCCTGGTAGAGCAAGCACAGTGTGTTGACTCTAGGCATCTTTCCTCTTCTGTGCCCCTTTGCTCAAACCTCAACTCTATGCTTTCAGCAGGGAATATGTGGCCTAGAGAGGAAACATGATAGTATGGTTAGTGTATCCTGCTGTACTCTACCCTAAGATCTTCTTCTATAAGCTTCTCACTGTTTTCAGTTGATTAGATAAACTAGATGATTTGAGCTTCTCAACTTGGTCTGTAAGTCTTTGCAGGCCATGACTTCTGAGTTAGCCTGCCTGACAGTGTACTTCGAGAATACCATCACCTCAGGGGAATTTCTCAAGTAACTTTTTCCTTCTTATGTTTTTCTGCTTCCATTCTGTTGCTCACCATTCTTATTTCTTCTCGGATAAATATATCTAAAGTTTAAGTGTCCTCCCACTACCCAGTGAGATCCACAGCATGGTTTTGACTATGACTTTGCACATAGGCCAGAAACATACATGGGACCTTAAGCTCACCTTCCTTATTTGTATCAAATGATGACCAGTATACTGATCTCCCATCCCTTTGCTTATGGCAAGAGATGGCTTAACTTAGATTGGAAAAAAAAAAAAAAAGTTTAAGTGTCCTTCAAGGAACTGCTTTAGTATGCCCTGTAAATTTAGAGATGTAGTGCTAAATAGCATTAATGGTTAAAAACTAATATGACAGTAATGTAAGACAGTCACCATCCTATAATTTTAAATATTCTTTTAAAAGTAAGGGTTACACCATAAGTGACTCTTAATCTCACAAAACAAACTGAGGGTTGCTGGGAGGAGGGGGGTTGGGGAGAGGTGGGGTTATGGACATTGGGTAGGGTATGTGCTATGGTGAGTGCTGTGAAGTGTGTAAACCTGGAGATTCACAGACCTGTACCCCTGGGGGGAAAAATATATATATATGTTTATAAAAAATAAAATTAAAAAAAAAAGTAAGGGTTACATTAAAATATTTATTATTTTCAACACAAGACTGCTGAACCTATGATTTTGATATTTATTTCTAATCCTATTTCTTTATAGTCAGAGATCTTCTGAATGGTATTAGTCATTGGGAATTAATAGAGGTTTTCTTTATGATCTTAAAGATGGCATTTTTGTACATTCTGTGTATATGCAAAAGGAATGCATATTTCCTGTTTGTTGAGCATAGCTAATGTATTTTCAATAGATTGAGTTTGGTAATTGTATTTTCCAGATGTTTTTGTAACACTTCTAACATTTTATTTGCTTCATCTATCAGATTCTGAGGCAGGTATGTTAAAATCATCAACTACAATTGGGGCACCTGGGTGGTTCAGTCAGTTAAGCTTTGGACTCTTGATTTTAGTTTGGGTCGTGATCTCAGGATCACAGTCTCAGAGTCATGAGATCAAGACCCATGGGGATCCCCACGCTCAGTTGAGAGTTTGCTTGAGATTCTCCTTCCTTCTCCCTCTGCCCCTTTCCCCCCAAATAAATAAACAAATCTTTAAAAGAAGATCATCATTATAGTTGACAAATTACGTATTTTTTTCCTGGAGTTCTTTCAGTATTTATGTGTTTTAAAGCTGTATTTTAGAATGTGTATAAATTTATGATGGTTATAATCTTGTTCAATTATTTCTTTTACTGGCACATGATTTCCCTTATGATTTTTTTGTCTTAAATTCTATTTAGTCAGATATTAAGAGACAACCCCATATTTCTTTGGGTTCACATTTCCCTAACAAAACTTTCCCCACCGATTTTCAATCTTTTATTTTCTTTTTGTCTTATGGTCTTATGTGTATCTCTTGTTGCCTGTATGTTCGTGGGGCTTTATTTTTTTTAAATTTGAGATTCTCTGTTTTAATTGGTGACCACAACTGCTGTATTATAATTAATGATATATTAAGACTGTTTGATACATGTTAAGACCCATATTCATATTTATTTACCCATATTGCTTGCTTTCTTTCTTTCTTTCTTTTTTTTTTTTTAAAGATTTTGTTTATTTGACAGACAGAGATCACAAGTAGGCAGAGAGGCAGGCAGAGAGAGAGGGAGAAGCAGGCTCCCCGCTGAGCAGAGAGCCTGATGCGGGGCTGGATCCCAGGACCCTGGGATCATGACCTGAGCCGAAGGCAGAGGCTTTAACCCACTGAGCCACCCAGGTCCCCAACCCCATATTGCTTTCTTAATTACCCCAATCTCTATCCTCCTCTCTCCCCCCACCAAAAAACCCAGAAAAGCTTCAGCTACTTGATATGTTGATCTTGTCCCTAGTCTTGTCAATATCAACAAGAATTTTAGTTTGGGGTATTTATTTATTAATACTTGAGTTTTCTTATTTGAAGTATCTTTAATTAATTTGTATGGTTTTGGTCTCCTTCTGGGACTCCTGTTGTCTACACACTGGCACTTCCACCTCTGTTTTCTATTTTCTATCTTTTCTGTTTTCTATCTTTTTATTCTTTCCTGCTTCCTCTGGGGGATAGTCCTAATCAGATCTTCTTACTAATTCATTTAAAAGCTGTGTCTGTCTTACTAATTAACTGTTATTCATTGCAATTATTGCATGTAGAATGATTTATTTCAGCCATTGCATTTATTCATAAACAGTATCCCCCTGGGTTCTTTTGTATTCTTTCTTGTTCCTTGCTGTATTGTTAATAATCTTTCCTTATGTCCTTCAATATATGTTTTCAAGCTTACTTGGAATTTTTAATCAGCATTTCCTAATCACACTGGTTTATTGTAGACTTTGTTTAGTTTGTTGGCTCTCCTTGGGAATGGTTCTATTCTGGAGACGTCGAATTGTCTTGGCCTATGAGCCTCTGACTTTGGAGTAATTGGTCTCTAAAGTCTCTTGGGGAGTGGCCAAAGACCAAGCCATGGCTTTCTGGATCCTGGTGAATTTAAGGAGAATGGGGAGAGTGAGTCCCAGGGTAAAGACCAAGTCACCTTGGGGTATCCTGGATACTTTCCTGGGCTGCTACTCCACAGGAACCCTTATACCTGGCCACTGGTGTAAAGTATTGGGATAATACACTCCCCTCCCCACCCCACCAAATTATAATGCACCAGTCTTGTGGTGCTGGAGAAGAAACAAAGGGCAGGAATGGATGCCCAGGGTAGCAGCTTAGTGCAAACTTACTTGTTTTCATGAACTCCTTACTCCTTTAGGGTTTTTGTGCTGCTCTGAGAGTATTGTGTGGACCCTGGGACCAGCAGTGAGGCCTGTGGCTGTAGGGGAGGTCCCAGGCCCTGAGAACACAATAAAAGTCTGTCCTGTGCTCTATTGCTGTGGCCTCCAGCCATTGTCTAGACCCCTTCCTCTCCTCAAAGTGGTGCACTCATTCGAGAAACCTAGAGTTTTTCATTTTTGTTTATTTCTTTTTTCCTTTTCCTTTTTTCCCCATTAAATGCTAATTCCTAAAATGCATGTGTGCCCTCCATTTCTGTAGTTTCTCCAGGGTCAATTTCTGGAGGTGGAGCTGGCAGCCCTAACTACTTTGCCCCCTTGGCTGGTGCTACAGTTCCTTGAACCTTTTCCTTCTCCACTCTGCCTCTCTTCATCACCTGATGCTGAGTTCCATGGGTGAGTTCATGTTCGTGGTCTTTATTGTCCTCTCTGTGCAGGCCTCCCTTCTTGAAAATCAGTAAGTGAAAGTCTTATGACAAACAGCGCTAAAATCAGCCCTTCCTCTTCTTCAGCTCTGCTGCAGGCCTCAAGTTAGGCCTGGGGTGTCCACTGAGAATTTCCCAATGCATGTTTTTTCTCCCCAATGTCTGCACAAAGACTACATCTTGAAATGGAAAAGCTGCAAACTGGCACTGTGTGTGGAAAAAAAAAAATATCCCTGGGTAGAAGAAGGAGTCATCACGATAGAAGAAACCCTTTAAGCTATAGAAAGCTGAATTTCATCTAAAGACTACTCATTTTTTGAAGGAATCCATGGACCATGAATTAAGTTATTTTTGGACCAAAAGAGAAACATGTTATGAACAATCTCTATCCTCTTGGTCAACAGAAGACAATGATCTGTACCCTTTAGAGTCAAGAGGGGAACGGACGGTCTTACTTTGAGAGACAGGATGGTGGGACCACCCAACCAAGATGGCAGTTTCAAAAACAAAGGCACTGGCTACTCTTGATTCAAATCCTAGCCTGGCCCCTTACTACTAATTGTGTGACTGTGGTGGGTGCATTATTTAACTCCTCTTTCACTTAGTTTCCTCATCACTAAAATGGGGGATAAAACCAGTTTCAGTGATTACAAAGAGTAAGTAAGCTAGTGTCTAGGTGTCCATTCATATTGACTACGGTATTTCCGTGATTGGAGTTCCTTTCTTTTGTCTTCTTAAATCATCTCTATTTAAGGGATGCTCTCCATAACACGAATGCCCCTGACAATCCCCTCTTCTGATGACAGCACGCAGAAGCTGTCATGCTCGAGCACAGGAGGGAAATGCTTGCAGCCCTGAGAGTAGCCACACACCGTGCTGTGTGCACATGTTGGGACTTCGCAGCTGGGTGTACGCTTTGGTGCAGGGCGTCTGTGTCAGACAAGTCTGTGTGCATAGTTAGCCTCGATTAGCCAGTCTGGCAGGGGTGTGTGGACACTGACTTCCTGTCTCTTCTGAATGCATTTTCTTTCCTCCCCTCATTAAAGACATCTCAACTGGTTTTACTGAATTTCTGTTCAGCACTTCTCTTGTAGTACTTTGAGATTTTGTTGGGAAGCGATTTCTCCAAATTAAAATAAGATAAGTCTCTTAAGTAGAGGAGACGGCAGTGACATGCAGCTGCATTGCTGGTCAATCAGCCAAGAGGGTTTCTGGAAAGTTAGAGACAAGGCATTGAATTTCTGTAAGTGGAAATTTCTGTAAGTCAGATCAGTGACCTGAGAGTCTGGTTGGTCAATGTTTAAGATAATGGAAAATCTCTGAAATCTTTCAGAGATGCTCACTAATCCAAATGGAGGAAGGCATGTTATTAGAAAATCTTCCTGACCTGAGTTACATTGTGTTTTCACTCCTTCAGTGCTTCATATTACTTACAGGTGGTAAACAGATGTTACTCCTATGTCCCGAAGAACAAAAATAATCAGAAGGATAGCTCTTACTTTTCAAATGTGGTTTTTCCTCGTTACTTGACTCTCACAGGCATGTACCATTCTTTCTTTTATGTTTCCAGTTATTGTTTTCTCCCCCGTTGCCCCCTGCAGACACGTAAATTACCTATGGATTAATTCACTAAAATCAACCTTATGGAAGCTTAAGCTAGGAGTGAGCCATCTTGTCTCCCCTCTCAAAATAATAAATGGAGTTTATTTCTGAGTGTATCTGATTGTATTTCTAAATATGGCTTCTGATCTCCCCTCTTCATGTATAACATTGTTTTAAACTCTAAAGCGTTAACTCCCCTGATAAGCTGTTGATAATCTAGCCAATGGAAGAATCACTGTTTCAGGCCCTGTTCTTAAGAAAATGAGTTTATGCAGAGATCTTGTTCTGAGAATGTTTCTAATAACTTGAGCTGCCCCACCGAGCACTAATAAAGAGGAAAGGTCACATTCAGCTACCAGTTCCAACCGCATGGGTCCCTTTGTTCTTCCACTCTAAAGATGTCAGTGGTTATGGCTTTAGGGTAACGGTTCACTTAGTAGGTTTTGATTTGTACCATTGACACAGGAAAGAAGCAGTCACCACTGCAAAGAAACTTTGCCAGGATAACTACTATTAATAAATGTTTGTTGTGGAGCTAGATGAAAAGTATATGAAATGTCTGTTGAATCAATGCTAATGAATGAAGGAATGAATGAACAGGGTTGGAGCTCCATGACAATAGTGTTTCTGTCATTTCTTTTTCAACATCTTTCCCTCTTTCAAGAACCATGATATCTTTCAAAGGTCTGTTTTGTAGTGGGGATCAAAGCAAGTGGGAGACTGACCATCTGAGTTAAAGTTGTCCTCTTGAAGAATCAGGTTTTATGGTATGATGGAAAATTACTTTTGTTTTTCAGGATCACAAGGGTAATAATATGTATCTGTATTGTCTACTGGGACACAAAGGGAAAGATGTAATCCTTATGTATCTTTTCTGAAAAAGTTCTCCAGCTCTCAGGAGGACAGTAGTTGAATCGTGTGCAGAACCTACAAATTGTTCCTGTTCTCCTTTATTTGCCTATCACAGTTCTCATTTAATCCTTATTTTTTCCATTTTATGCTTTCTAGATCTGAAAATCTTTCCAATAGTGGTCTTTATGCATTCTAATGACATTTAATTTAATCGCCTTTTGTCCCATCTTAGTCTCTCTCCCAGACTATATTAAAAATCAATGATTGTAACAATTCTAATGATCTGATGTGATGTTGGACAATTCAAGTCTGGTCCCAGAATAATGAAAAAAAAAAAGTCAAGAACAATAAAGGATACTTCTTGCCCTAGATTTCTTTGCTGTGCTTTCCAAATTTACACCGGAGAGATCAATAGTTGTGTGTGGTTTTTGCATTATTCAGGGTATGAGAACTGTGCTTTGGAGTTTATAGCAAAGTTGAAGATGGAAGCTGATTACACTGACAAAGACAATAACCTCAATGTTTTTACATATGGTTTTCTAACCTATTTGGATTATCTTTCCCCTTCCTGCTACCCAAATTAAGTGGGATGTTAGCCGCGCATGATTGAAATGAAAAAATGAACATGGAATGAGCTGGAGACATGATGAATGAATGAAAGATGAGAATATATTTCTGTAGAAAAATATGCACATATACATCTTTTTGCTTTTAACATACTCTGTATTATAATTTATACATATACATAGCGTAAGCAGTTCACATCATTTTGGCACTATGTATAATTCTACGGTAAGCTGTGTTGTTTCGTCAGCCCCTACTATAATAGCACAATAATGTCTAGAATATTTAGCAATATATTATCACATTTGTACTAGAGCTGCCTCAAATACTCTGTTTTCCATGTTTGTAAACGAAAATAGGAACACCACTACATAAATACTGTGATTGGAAAAATACCTTCTTTTCAATTGCTCCCTTACATTCAGTAAAGGAGACATAAACCACTTTAGTATCCAAAATACATTTTCACTGAAGGAATATAATTTTCTTTGGGTGCACTAAATATCTAACCAGAACAAATCAACTTTTTGTTTTTTCCACAACTAGATCACCTCTGAAAGGCAGTGGCATCGACATAGATGAGATCTGAGATTTGAAGGGTTTCAATGGATCTCCCCGTTTGGCACAAAATCAAATGATGGTAACTCTGATTACTGTTGCAAATCCACAAATGAACTTTAGGTACTGGTAACGATAACTGGTTTGTTCAGGGATTTTTGAAGATTTTATGATGAGGATGTAAGGAGAGATATGGGAATATAATATTGGGCTTTAATAAGACCCTCTACTTTTATTTTAAATGAACCGATAGATGGTTCAACTCGTAGCAGTTACTTTTCCTCCTCCTGTTTTGCTAATAGCATCAAACAAAAGGTCAACTACAAACTGATTTCTAATTAGCCCTACTGAATCTTCCTGGAAAAGACCGAGATCTTGTTAAGCTTTGAAGCTGGGAGGAAAGCAGTTAATGGATTTATATGGAGTCTTTTAATTACCAGTCTTAAACAAATTTATCTTTTACTGCTAGATAGCACCCAAGGGCAAGAGGTAATCTGCTTTATAAACCTTAGAGTGATTTGCTTTATAAATCCTGGAGCTTAAGAAAGTGGAAAACTCTCTTTAAAGAGAATATTCTCTTCCACTAGAAATTATATTTTTGGCAGTTTTGTGAAAAATTTAGTGATGGATTCTTTGTGACCTCCCCATTTAGAAATGTCAGCAACCAAAGCACATTCAACGTGAAGGCCAGTTCCTGACGGCAGTTAGGGCCTGTTCGATGGACGGGATTATCCAAAACCACGCTGAGCATACGATATTAATAAACCAGTTAACAAACTGGCCCATCTAATGTTTTAAGCAAATGGACTCAGAATTTCTTTTTCATCCAAACCATTGCCTCTTCCTGCCAAATGCAGGTCTCCCCTCTACCTTCTTAGTCATCTCTCTATAAGAAAGCCACTTGGTCTTGCAGAGGTCATGTAATTTGTGCGGTTTACATTGTGTGGATGGTAAAATATCTGAGTAACGTCAGAATTGATTGAAATAAAAAAATTAAAAATTAGATCCATAGCCAAATACAGAAATATTCTAATTCAAAGTCTAGAGTTAAAAAGAAAAATAGTGACCGTGCTTTTAATTTCTCAAAGTTATAAATGGCTCAAGATTAACAAGGAGCACCCTGTTTCTGAACTAGGTCAATTTAATTGTGTTTTTCTTGGATACTTTGCTTGCATCACTAAGACAACTGCATCTCAGTCCCAGATGAAAGATGGGGTTCACAAGGGATGCAGTGGGAGACTCCATTCCTAGACTGTCTCCCACAGCAATAGTACCAAGGATAACTTTCTCCAGATTTACTATGGACAAATTCACTTAATAATTCTTCACAAATGATATGCTCAGCTCCTGGGAGGATGGGGATCACTTTAAATGGATGGTCTGTCTGTCTCCCAGGAAATGAAGGCTCAGTGATCACGATGCTGCGCTAGCTTCACATTCAAGCGGATGACTCTTGCTCAATGATTTCCAAAGCAATGACCTCGGCACCCCCTTCGCCCAGGTTGTTGGCGGCTTCGTTCCTCGGCTCCTGGTGGCAGATGTAAACCGGGATGTCCCCGGCTTCGGCCGCGGCGGCGGCAGCGGCGGCTGCGGCGGCGGCTGCGGCATTGGCCGCGGAGCGGCGGGGGTTCCGTCGCCCCCAGCGCTGATCCCACTGGGTTTTAAACTGCGCCCATTGGCGCTTCACGGTGGTTTGGACCTGAAAGAGAAAAGGGAACCTTGTTTTCGTATAATTGTCGGAAACGACCCAAGCCAAGCTTATGGGCACAGTTCGTGGAGCTTATCAGAGGCCAAAGGAGGCTGAGTTGTAATTCTGATTCGAAGGACCCTGCAGTAAACACGCTCTGGTTGGGGAATATATACCATCTTGGGAGAAGAATCTTCAAGTCAGAGAAACGAGTTGCTTGCCTAAGCTACCACTGGCAAGGTCGTTTGCTCTTTTTGAGCAAAAGTCTCTTCTTTAGCTCTCCTGTCCAATGAATGAAAATTGCCTTGGTTTTATTATACCCATTATGGTATAGGTGTCCTATCAGAGGAAAAGATTTTTGAAAAGTTTTTATCTGCCACCACCTCTGATAATGCAGAAGTTTTTATCTAAACCTAAACACATTACTGTATGTATACACACACACACACACACACACACACACATACATACATACATACATACATATACATATGCATATACCACAGCACAGCCCGGGGTTTCATTATAAGGGTTTCATACTGTGGATTTTCCTTTCTCCAGCATGGCTTGAGATGGGGCGCCCTGGATAAAACTCTAGTTAATGGAGTACGAAGCTTTTAGGAATAAAATTTCAACCTCTTCCTATGAAAAAACTTGTAATATGTAAACAAACTTACCAAACTTGCTTTACAAATATGATAAACTGTATAGTAGAGAAGGAGAAGATGCTAAAGTCAGGAAGTTCTAAATATGAAAACTGCAATAACCACCGTGGAAAAGCAGTAATGCTGCTTGTCTAGCTCTGCTTTCTTCAGAACTGAATTCAGTTTAGTCTTTAAGTTCATCTTCCCTGTCATCTCCTAACTTCTGGCTTTTCTCTATAGCTGAGCAAGACTAAAATAGAGATTATTGCTGCAGTATCTACTCTACATTTCTGATTTTCTGTGGCTCAGTACAGGAGATATGCTTTTATACAAAATATTTGCATCGATTTATTAATACATCTTTTGTTATTTTGCTACCAAACTTGAATGTAAGACCTAACCATTATGGGGGAACAGGAGGGAGAATCTGGAAACAGTATGACCTGAGATAAAGCATGTAATGAGTTAATTGTGAGGAGCCAAATTTGTATGAATCTAAAAGAAGATATAAATGATAGTACAACATACTTATGTTATAAACCGATATGCATGATAGAAGGCTGAATAATTTCTGTGGCAAATACATTTTCTGTGTATCATAGCAGAACAGTCTTTCCAAATAATTATTAGTATTTGTCATATCATTTTAAATATTTTACTCAGAAAAAGGCAAAACAGTCAAATGATTCATCAAAGACAAGAGGGTATGAAACTCGTCACTGAAGAGAATTTCTTCTTCATATAGCAGAGCAACCATCAATTCAAGATGACAAATGGCAGACGAATTTGGTAATCTGATCATTTGGAATACTGGTAATCTGATCATTTGGAATTATTGTGGCAACAAACTGTTTTTGTGTTTTTAGTTTTTTGGAGGTGATGAGTGTGTGAGTATACTCTCTAATGTGCATCTATCTAATTTTATTTAAAAGAGACAAAGACCAAAACTTTAAGTGCCATGGTCAAGCTGTGTACCTTGTAGCGAAACCTTGTGTTGACAAAAGACATATGGAGGGTCATGGACAGCATGAAAAATTGGAGCTGTCGCTGTTATTTTCCGAGGGCTTACCACATGCCGTTTTCCAAGCTCTTGATTAGTATGAACTTATTTAATCCTGCTGATTTAATGGCTACTGTTCCCTTCACTTTACATATGGGGGCTGAGGTTATGTAACGTGTCCAGGGTCAGAACCACTGGAATGTGTGGTTCCACATTCCACAGCCACACCAGGGGAAGCTCGTGGCTCCTGACCATGTGCTTGGCCACAGTACACACTGTAGACAGCTGACCATCAAGTTCTGAACTGAACTGAAAATAGAATTTGTTTCTTGTGGTCATTGCTTAGGCAGGATGAGAGCATTAATTGTTGACACATCAACTCCAAAGACTGTGCTCTTTGGGTTTGGGTCCCAGCTTGTTGCCTGCATAGGTTTTTTTTTTTTGTCTTTTTTAGTTTTTTGTTTTTTTCTTTCTTAGACTTTTCTCCTTTGTAAAGAGGAGATCAGGACACAAATTCAGTTATGAGTAAGATATACTGAGGTTATCTGAATCACCTCATACGGTGTTGGTGCATAGCAGCAGTAATTTCCTTGCTGACCCCACCCCCCACCCCCTCCAAGGTTCTGCCAGTCAATGTGGCTGGATTTGAGAGTCAGGTATCTCCCTTTTGATAGTCTGACACCTTCAGTCTCCTATCCGGCCTAGTTCTTTATTAGGGCTATTTACTGGTTGAAAATTGATTCATATAAGTGTTTTGCTTCTTTTGGTTTCCTAAGTACATTAGTGCAAGAGGTACAGATGGAAGGTGTAATACAGCTAGAGGGGACAAGATGGATTGGAGGAATAGAAGAGGCAGAGATGAGGAAGAATGAAACAGTAAAGAAGAAAAGCAATTAGGACAGTTTATCTGCATTTAGTGCTGAATAACTGAGCATTGACTAGTTTGTTCCCCCTCTGTGACATTTCTGTCTAGAGGTCAAGACACAAAGAGAAGACAAAGTCTGAAGGATTGGGTCCATTTACTCTCTCTAATTGAAACAATGTGCTCTTGCTCACACTGGCTTCCTGCACTCGGCTGCTGACATTCAAAACAGCAGTAGGGGGACATACTCCAAATGGGCTGAACTGGACTGGGGTTATTCTCTTCAGAAGGAATTCAGTCCATACCCAGAGTGACCTGAAATCTTGGTTTGATGGTTTTGTCCTTTAGCTATTTACCCCAAATGCCTCTATTTCAGTCACCCAGCCAGCACAGATAGAAGGGATTCTGGTCCTGTAAGAGCACTTAGACACCAGGCACAGAGCTGCTATCAGGGGCAGGAGTGGAAAATTCCCATCATTCTACTGCTTTTGTCTGAGTTGGCTCATCTCTCTGCCAGAGTGGTTTTAAGCCACTTATGGCCTTGACCTGAATTCTCCAAAATTAACAAACTGCTTGTCTCTCTCCACCAGCTATATCGTTTCTTCCCATCAGGTCTCTCTGCTCACGCTGCTCCCTCTGACCGGAATGGCCCTCTCCCACCCTTCACTGGTGCCCAAACTTGTTTTTCAGGACTCAACTCTGTTTCTCCAGGAAACTTTTCTTGACCCCTTGATACAGACAGAGTCAGAAGTCTCTCTTCTGTGCTCTTGTTGCAGTAACCTATACTCATTATTGCTCTTACTGCGCTATCACATTGTGACTTGCTGTGTGTCTCTCTCCTCCTGTACAAGAAAATTCTGAAAAGCAGGAACCATGTCTTATTCATTTTTGTATTCCCAGAACATGTCATGCTGTTGGGCATATAGCAGTTCTTCAACAAATACTTGCGGACTGTCAACATCCATTCTAGAATGAGTTCATAACTCTTTCAGACAAGAAAATGATCACTAATGACCATAATTAGTGCACTGATATCTGGTGGTACCAGGGTGGGGAGCTGAAAGCATCTAGGGAAAACCTTATGGAGAAATTGAAATGTTCTTTCATGGGTTTTGATATGAGACCTAGAATCATTGCTTTTTGAGAACTTGAATTCCTTTCAGAGGTAAACCATAAGCCACTGGGTGTCAGATCACCTACAACTGTTGCTAGATCTTCTCTCATGCCATGGTGTGTGTTTTTGGGAACTGCTCTTGAGCTCCAATGAGTTGCTACTTTTGGAAATGAGCAGAAGCAGGCACTTCTTGGCAACCAGCTGGGCAGGAAAGGAAGACTGTCATTGGGTCACATCGCACCACCTTTCTGTTCTTTTTCCACCTATAGCATCATTTCACTGGGTCTCATTCAATGCCATGAAAGAAAGGACTGAACTTTGGGTCAAGAAACTCACTCTGCCCACATTAGCCTTGTAATCTTGGGTAGGATAGTTAACCTCTTTGAGACTCCTTTCTTCAATACAATTCTTCTACCTCACCTTGCTGTTGGAAGGATTAAATTGTGACAGTATATATCAAAGTGGCATCTAAGCTTTAAAGTACTACACAGGGAGGCTACTGTTATTATTGCTATTACTGTACTGTTATTACGGCAGGATGTTGACCTCCAGTCTTCAGACTAAAATGAAACTCTTCTGTCATATTCTTTTTTGGAGGGTGGTAGTGCTAAGAAAATACAAAGACCTCTCAATGACACACATAGTTGCTGATCTCATACATTCTACACTAGGTCTCTACAGAGTGATCCATGGCCCAGGCTTGCTACTTCCTGGATTTCTTTTGGATTTCTGTACCATTTATTTTTCTGTTGGGACTAGCCAAGAGATGGCATGGTTTTATTTGGGTCATACTGTCTATTAAATGTAAGTCCTTAATGCTTTAAATGCCAGGTTTATAATCTAGGAACCATCAAATGCCCTGTTGAGGAATTAGGAAATATACTGCTTCAGCATATTTTTGGAGAAGCGATGTCCCCAGACAAAGGGAATTGACAGTTTCTGTGGATTCAGCATCTCTCAAATACCAACACTGTCTTTATAGCTAAAACTTACACAGATATTTAGAGGTATCCAAAGCAGACAGTTTAAGTTTAGAGTGAGTTTGTAAAAGTGCCCAGAGGACAAAAAAAAAAAAAAAAAAAAAAAAAAGGCTTTGTTTCTCCTCACATTTAAAGAAAATAATCCCCATTGGCCTATCCATGCGTATTAATGAAGTACCCTGCCCAGCATGAGGCCAAAGGGTTTGAGGCCTATTTTATGTTTTTATATTATTACTATTACAGAAACGTTCGTAGCCTTCTATAATTGCATTCCCTAATTATGATCTATTCTTTTGTGTGGAGATGGCAATCTGCTTCAATTTGTAAACCACACATATAAGAATAGGCCCTTAGCAGGATGTAAAAGACACTTGAATAATTATAGTTTAATAGGGCAATTATCTCCTACAATATCACAGGTTGAGCTTGATGCTGCTTTGATCACTAAAATAAGGGCATTGAATCTGTTTGGGGAAAAAAAAAAAAAAAAAACCCAGGGAGACTTTTCATTGCTCTTGAAAAGCATCAGAAATGTTAGGAGTAGCCAATGTGATAAATATAACGTACAAAGTTTTGAATTATATAGATTCATCACTCATTATAAAAGCAATTAACAGATCACTTTACATTTTCCCTAATTATATCAATTTCTTTATTAACCATTTTAAAAAATAGAGCCCTGATCTGATGGTTTGAAGTCATAAGTATTACACCTGGATCTAGTATTAACCATCTATATGAGGTTGGCGTATTTGGGCCTCAGTTTCTACATTTGTGAAAAAGAAAATCAGGTCAGAATCTTCGCAATTGGACTTGAATGCTTTCATCTTTGGCCTTAGTTTTCCTCAAGTTCAGCATAAGCACCAGAAGTTATATACTGTTGAGTGGAAGGTGGGATTTATTCCCAGGAGTTTTGATCCATTGGATAAGAAAGATTTTCAAACCTGCTCCCTCACACCTTCACTTGCTGATGCCACAACTCAACAGGCCCTGCTGCAATCGAAATTTAAGATTAAAAATCATGAACTTTAAAAACACTTTAGATACACTTGAAAGTATGCTTTAAATGCTTTTATATGACTTCTGAAGCGGAACCCCTATTTAACCCTGTTAATTAGATACTGAGGGATGCTTCTGAATATTATTCATAAAGTTGTCACTGATATTTTTTTCACCTTTTGGAGCATTATCTTTACTGGTCTTTTTCTTACAGAATGTATATGCCCTACAGTTTGAGATAAATTGGGTACTTCATGATCATAAGACCAGGCTTTCTAATTCCCATTCACTACGTACTTTTCTAGTCTGTAGAAGTTTTCTTGTTCTAGAAGACACACAAATAAATATCATCTATGATAAGGTTAATATTTTTGAAAATATTTAACTATTATATTTCCTAAATAACATTACCCTGCAACTCCCTCATTCATTAAGTCATGGCCATTCATTGCCTGAAGAACAAATTAGATTTTGCTTACAGTGGGTTCTCAAAGTGTGTTCTCTGATCAGCAGCATCAGCATCACCTGGAAACTCGTCAAAAATGCAAATTCCTCAGGCCCCATCCCTGTCCTACTGAATAGGAAACTCTTCTGAGAGGGGTCAAGCACTCTATGTTTCAACAAACTTTCCCTGGCAATTCTGATGCACACGAAAGTTTGAGAATACTGGTCTAGAACAAAGAAATCACTGTTTAGCTTTGAGTCTCAAAGCTGACTTTCTTGAGTCTCTAGAAGGACAACAGCTTTGAAAACCAGGTTTTATTGAGTGAGAAAAAGAATTTCTAAATAGAAAATCTTATCTTTGCATTATGAAGTGAAAACCATACTACCCTGGAAATAGAATTTTACTAAAAGCCATAGTATAGAGGACACACAAGATATAGCGTAGGGAGAGTCCCCCGAGGATAGGAAGGAGCCGTGGTTAGTACAAAGCCCTTCCAGTCCTGAGAGGGAGAGAGATATACAGAGACACAAATGACCTTGCATTTCCCCTTTGTGGTGGGAATACCTGGGGAAATGGGGAGAAGACAGAAAGTAGGAACCATAGAAACACCCCAGGATAGCAAGTCTTTCTCTTTGATTCTGAGAGCACAGGTCTAGAAATTGATAGCCATGTAAAGAAGTCCCATACTTGGCCTGGTACAATGTGCAAGCTGGTACCCGAGTGGTGGAGTGGGAATGGCTGTGACATGTGTTAAAGACAGACTTGTAGGCCCTTCACAGTGTGAAGAAAGGAGGCTGACCCTCTGGGCTCCTTGAGTGGGTGGAAGAGAGAACTGGTGTGGCAGAACAAGGCTGGGGCCTGGTCAAGGAAGCGACACAGTAGAAGGATCTCTAGGCTCCTTGGAAGTGAGGGAGCCACCCTGAGTGTCAGCAGGGCCTACCAACTGCACCTTTGGATAAAGGCTTTGGAACCAAATATTTTCTAGAAAGAGACTGCCGTTTCTTAGAAGCTGGTGGGATAGGCTTTCTAAAGCAAGACAAGTTACAACAAAGAAAAGCAGTGGTAGTTTCCATCCACTCCAGTCTGTTACTGTTAAATTGAGATCTTTCTGATCATGCTACTTTGATCAACAAACGATTTTACCCACAGTGCATGGACAATAGCAAGACCCATGGAAAGGGAAAGCATCCACTGTCTTGTTGGTGCTCTCTCCATTTTTAAGATGCGACTCAGAACCGCTGGGCATCTTTGTAGCCGTCATCATCTCTTTGAGGTCCCTTACATACTTAATAATACTTGGTCAACATCCATACTCTTGGAAGACTTGTAGGAAATACGTGATCCATAAGCATGCCCTCGTGGGTGCTTCCTGATTCCTACTCCTGTCATTCTCCAAATTCCTTCCCTGCTTCTAGTCTATCTGTCGGTATCTGACCAATTTCCATAATGGGAATCACTGACAACATGCAGGTAAGAAAAGAAAATGAAAACCTCCTTCTGCACTGTGTAGCTGCCATCTCAGCCCTTAAATCTCTGCTAAAACTCAACGTGCTCCCAGCAAAGCCCACACACTGCTCTGTGGCAGTGGCAGTGGCAGCTGCGAGACCAGCCAGCAGGGCTGCGTGCCCTGCCGGGGTTGATGGGGTAGAGACAGCACCTTCACAGAAGGCCCAGTGGAGAGCCGCAAACCTAAAATTCATGGGGCTGTGATGTTACATTTGGCACAGTACAAAATTCCTATCTTATTAGAAATGTCACACTGGTAGCTTCCCCGGTAAAAGAATCGAAATAGAAACGTTCAATTGTTAGGAGGACTTCTTGGCTTGCTTTCTATGCCTGATGCTTCAAAGACAGCGTCTTGGTTAAAACAGAGGAAGGGTTGAAGTATTTTTGCAAATGCCTGCAATCCTCTCATGTTTTTAAGGTATGCCCCTTCTGAACCTGATTTTTATGTTAGCCCTATAGAGATACTGCTTTAGGTGGAAAATTTATTTGTATGGCACCTGAAACAACTTAAAAGACAGACTATACATTCATAGAAATTGATATAAATATGGGATGCCCTAAACCTTATTTATTTAGTTAGTTTTTGCTATTCTTAAACAAAAAACCAAAGAGACACTAACAGCTGACAGCAGAAGGGTGACTTTTCATTTCTACCCCAGGCCTTCAGTCTAGCCCCTAGTGATAGTGAATGGACAATCTATTTCTGCTGAATGAAGGAATGAGCTTATGGGTGAATGGATGAGAGGAGGAATAAAATGTACCAATTAAAAAGTAGAATGAGAGAGACAAAAATCTTGTAAAGCAGTGACAAGGTTGGAGATAAATAATACGTCATAGAACAGCAAAATCTTACAGGTGCTTTCTGTTTAACTGAAGAAATATAGAGTAGAGAATTAAAGATCAATTGATTCTGGTTAGAAAACCTTTCTAATTACTAACAGGAAAAATCATACGTTTGTTGATCTCTTCACCAAATGTTATTTTCCTTGGTATAGAATTATTCTAAATAGGGATCCATGTAAAATGATAAAAAATAATTGCACATTACAATTCATGTCGTATATAACTAGAAAAAGTATATGAGCCAAGCTCCAGGGAGGAATCATAGACGTATTACAGTGCAGTGGAATATTTAGTTCATTTAATTAAGAATCAGGAAATCTAGGTTCTAGTCCTGATTATGGAACTATGATTGTGACATTGTGCAAGTCACACGTTCTTCCTAGAGTATAGGCTTCTCACCTGAAAAATGAGGGAGCTTACAAACTATGTTTCTTGAAACTCTGGGTCTTCTTTGGTACAAATTTAAGCAGCTCCACTTTTAAAAAAGAAATTCCAGTATAATTAACATATATGTTGCAAATGGCAAGATTTCACTGTTTTATGTCTGAGTAATATTCCATTGTATGTATGTACCAGAACTTCTTTATCCTTTCATCTATCAAGGGACACTTGGGCTGCTTCCATTTCTTGGCTATTATAAATAATGCTGCTATAAACATAGGGGTACATATATCTCTTTGAATAAGTGTTTTCATATTCTTTGGGTAAATACCCAGTAGTGGAATTACCAGATCATATGATAGTTCTGTTTTTAATTTTCCAAGGAGCCTCCATACTGTTTCCCACAGTGGCTGCACCAGTTTGCATTAGGGACAGTAAGCAGCTCCATGTTTCTACTTCACAGTTGGGGTCCCAGGCAAGAAGATTTCATTGCAAGAAAGGGCACTCTGGCTAACCGCTCCCTGACAACACTGGCCATGTGGATCTCTAGATTTCACTGAGCTAAATATTCAGATAATAAATTACTTATTTGAAGCTCCTTTTGGGATATTAACTTCAGGAGGATTGCCACAATGTCGAAGACATGGTATGACACTGGCACCAAGCAACAGGACAAGAAAGCAGTGAACCAGTTCATACTGGCTGGATCCTGGCTCAGCCCCAGTGAGGAGCCGAGTCTTCCAAAAGGATGGCAGCATGACTTCTCTTTCTAGGAGAATCCAGAATAGCTCTCGCTCTTGCTGCTCAAGGGACTGACCAGCTTAAGATGCCATCCAATGAAATCAGAACATAGCTGCCCATGTGGGTCATATCTACAATTCTCCCATAGAAACACAGATAAGATTCATGTGAAGTAGTGGAACCCTGTGAGGTCAACTGCAGAAGTGAGAGCAAATGAAATGTGACCAGAGGCCCTTTGGGAGCTGTAAAGTGCTGGCTTTATATCAACGAGGGATGGTATTATGTGAAATGCACGCTTACCTCGTTGTTGCAGAAGCAGTAGATCACGGCGACGAAGAATCCCTTAAAAGAGGAAGAAAAATAGAACTGAGATTAATTTTGGGTGCGTTATGTTGTTCAGGAATCAATATTAATAGACAGCCTGAAGAGGATCATTTCACTATTGTATTAGCAAATCAAGGCTAGATGAAAGACAATTACTAGCACACTCATATTCAGTGCTTCACTATAAGAATGTTCTAGTTTAAGAGGGTACAGCTTTCAGCTTGGGGTCCACTGGAGACATTTCCTACTGACAGGAACATCTGCCTCTCTGCCCTGTGTTTTCATGGCATTGGTGACTGTGATGCTAGCTATCAGGTTGGGAAACTGATTGGCGGTGGTTATGTTGATTTTCAAAACTCCCCCTCATAAAGGCAAAACAAATGTGCTTTCCCTCAAACTACTGGATAGGGGAAGGAAAGGTGGAAAGGACGGTGGGAATAGAAACTCTGTCCTCAGTACTCAGTACTGTGCAGTGGGTCCGTCCCTGGACAAGTCTTTGTCCTCAGAAAGATGTGTTCTCAAAGCTCATCCCCCCACCCCCCCTCGTTTCCTTCCTCGGTTTTGAGATTCAAAAATAAAAGGGGGAAACAGGTAATGAGAAAAAGAGAAGCTGTATCCCTTCCAGGTTATATATATTTGCAAAGGTCCTTCTGATCACAGATGGACCTTAGAAGTGCTTCTGCCTACGTCAATTGGCTGAGCAAACAGCTGATCAATACACCACTGGCTTCTTTACCTGGAAGTGAATCAGAGAGTGCATCAGGTAATCGTAGATCTTCCCAAGCATCTTGTTGGAAGGCCTCCAGGGAAAGACGACAAACTGGATTCCGAGCAGGGGCACCAGGATCAGAGTGGCCCTCACCGCCTTCAGGTACATGTGCGATTCCGCCTCCTGGGTCTCCCTCAGCTTGCTCACAAGCACCCGGACGATGTTGAGCAGGAAGAAGAAATTGACCTGCAAAGATGTGACATTATAAGCAAATCATCCAGGTCCGGCTGACTTAACGATGACTGCTTTCCTTGACTCTTGTTTATCTCATCCTGGGAGCAGATGTCACAGGACGGGAGAGACGGCCTGTGAGTTGGTGTAATAAGCTCGGCATTACCGGGTGCAGCTGTAAAACTGAAGACCCTCTCCAGACCTGAATGAACGTTTCCTTTTTTTTTTTTTTTCTTTTTTTGTCCAAGTGAGAAAACATTTTTTTCTGTATAAGTAAATAAGTTTAATTACAATGAGGGTGGTTTGTTCTTCACTTTGATTTTTATGATTTTTACGAAGGAGAGTCATAACCGACACTTTTAGATCTTGCTTTCTGGTCATTTCATTACGGAGATTTTCCTCTTAGGCAGGACTACTTCCCAGAAAGTGAAATGAGGACTGAAGAATTCATCTCTAAAGTTTATGTAGTAGAGACAGCTATCCCAGGCCTCTTTTCTTTCTAATAACATTTTTTAAAGAACATGACTTCATTCAGGTGTAAGGCACATTCAGTAAATTGGAGACTTTAAGTTTACGTTCAAGAAGTTTAGAGAAATGTAGGTATCTGGGTAGCAACCCCTCCAAACAAGAAAAGAGCATTTTCATTACCCTAGGAAGTTCTCTCCTGCTTCAACAACTCCTCCACCTCAAGCGACCACTAATTTCTATTACCACAGAAGTGGAGTGTTATACAGTATGTACTCTTTCATGTCTGGCTTCTTTGGTTTGACATATTTATTATCTGTGAGATTCATTCACGTTGTGTATATTGGCATTTCATTCCTTTTTATTGCTGAGTAGTACTCCATTACATGGATAATACACATAATTTGTTTATTCATTCTGTTGTTGATAGAAATTGGCAAGGTTTCACAATTTGACTATTACTAATTAACATGCTATGATTATTTGTATACAAGTCTTTGTGTGGACATATGTTTTCGTGTCTCTTGAGTAAGTACCCAGGAGTAGAACTGCCTGTTGATATGGTAAATGTATATTTAACTTTATAAGAAACTGGCAAACTGTCTTCCAAAGAAGTGGCTTCATTTTACATTCCCTCTAGCTCTAGCTGAGCATTCCAGTTGTTCTCTACCCTTGCCAAGTCTTGGTATGGTCACACTTTTTAATATTAGCCATTGCAGTGGGTCACAAACTACTTTTGGCTATGGAGATTAATTTTGAAACCAAAGTTGTTTTTAAAATTTAATTGATGATTTATTTTTAAGTGATTAGTGTGATTTTTCTACCCAGAATAGAAATAAACATAGTTGCCCCCAAAACTCAAGAAAGAAGAGAGACCTTTAGTAATAATTAAACTCTTATGAGGTATTGGAAATATTCAAGATCCACATCCGTGGGTCTTTGTGAGGACAGTTGGGCTGGCTCTGGAGGAGGGCAAAAGAAATAGAGTGTGCACTGGAGACACTGGGGGCAGTAGGAAGTCAGGTTGGATGTGACTTGGTTTGATCAGTTTCTAATGGATACTTCTTCAGTACATGAGCAGAACATGATTTATGACTTGGACTGTTTTTCATTTTCTTTTTCCAAGGGAAAAGCACTGTTTTGAGGCTAGTGGGAAAAATAATGTCTAAATATTAAATGGGCTGGTTGTCATGCTCACTACCATAGAGTAAACCTTGGGTAAAAACAAAGAGCTTGGAAATACATGCAGATGGTCATGTTCTCCTCAACCCCAACTTCTTACTAGTCCTGTGATTTGGGAATGAGTTTACTTGAATCTTTGGGTCTAGTTTTCCTAATGAGTACCAATAGTCCTGATGTATCTACTTCAAAGGGCTGCTGTTAGGAAGAGCCTTGGCAATGTACGTGCAGGGCCTGAAGTGTATGCTCAGTGGTAGTTCCCACGATGGCTCACGGACCAGAGATGAAATGAGAGATGGTTTTGTTTGGCAGAGACCAGGGAAAAAGGTGCAGAGGGACTCTGATTTTTCACTTTCCTTCTCAATAACATCTTCTTACCATTCTTCAGTACCTTGATCTTTGCCTTTAATGAGGAGCAGGTAGGTATAGCGTTGTTTCAAGAAAACTGTATTTTTGTGACGGCGGGTGTAGAAATGAACTTAATGCAACCCTTCCCCAATGGTGTTAAATAAAAATTATTTTTTTCATTTGAAGATCCTCAAATTAAATTGTTACAGATGATCTCATTATAGATCATCATTACCTTAGCCTAATTTTGAAGTCCTGAGACATATGGGACACAGAGCCATCTTTACAGAAATCTTCACAAAGAGATAACACTTAATAATGGATTTAAAAAACAATTCTCAACAACAACAACAACAAGATTAATAAAAGCAATTCTCACCACCAGTGCGGCCATGACGGGGCCGTGGATGATGTAAAGCAGATGGGTTTCCACACTCAGCCAGCAGCTGAAAACAAGGAGGGAGGGAATACATGAATATAAATGCATTTTACTTACAAATACGTTCACTTAAAAACCACCAAAATACGTACTTGTCATTGAAGTACAGAGCCCGAGTAATCGCATGGATAGTGGTTGGCACCAGCGGGAATCCTAAAAATGTGAAAAAGCAGAAATCACACCTGATTTCTTGATCTTAAGCTACAACAATGATTGAGTGGAAAATGGTAGTTTATCTTCAAAAAAGGTGGCAAATTTTAATATCTCTGTCAAGATACTTCCCTGATGTTTTTACACAAACTATTTTTGGTCAATCCTGATAAATATTCTCTTGGTTAGAACATCACGTGCTTTCAGAGTTTTGTGAAGAGCATCCAGGTAATTAAAAGTCTTTAAAAGATTATCCAGGATGGTAGGTACCTTGTTACTCTCACTGTGACCATTATACCATCATTATGTCTGTGGTGATGACTGTTAGTTGAGACCAGAAGGCTCTTCATTGCATGTGAACTGGACTGCTTAATAGACAGGAGTTAGGTCACCATGGAGGGCAATGACCTGGGATAGCTTACGGAGACAATAGCCCGATTGCTCTGAAATCCTTGTTGATGTTCATAATATTTCTTGTAGGCTTTTCTTTTTCCTGTCTGTTTATATCACATGTATCGATTCCATTTTCTTTCCATTAAAATACTTCAGGGCACGAATGCCTTCCCTACCCTCTGTAAGTTCTGCCTGCGGAACCTCTATGAAGGCAACTTGGAGTCTACTTCCCTCACTGAACTCTAAGTTCTAGTAAAAAGCAACTTTGAATTTATAAATAGAATGATAGAGGTCATTATCGGCAATGCATTCTGTCAGGGTACCTCTTTTTAAAATCAATTTTCATTCTCTAAGTGTCATCTAGAATATAGTTGTGGTTCTTGCAAAATAGTTTTTTTTCCTCAGATGTACCCCAGCCCAACAGAATATTGCTTGATTTGGTTGAGACATTTGTAGAAAGAGCATTTAGAATTATCATCAGATTGAGAAACGTATCTCAGAAGTGAGTTAGACCTCCACATTTTTATTTTCTGTGAATTCTATGCAAAAAGACATTGCCTCAGAATATTGAGTTTTCACCTGAGAACAACCTCAGCTTCTTAACCCATGAAGCATATAATTCAATAGGGCCATTGATTAAATGCTTGGCCTGAGAGAATTTTGAGTTAGACTCTTTACACAAAACATAATTGTGTTTTATTCACAGCAGTTCTAACATATCATTTCCCCACTTGGGTTTTAGAAACAGAAATTCATTTTCTCGATATATTCTGAAACATATGTTTTAGAATTAGCAGAAGAAGCATATGGAGTTCTCACTCCCACCTCATCATTTTGTAGAGAGGAGGTGGTGTTCCTTAATGTACAGAGGAGTGCGGACCCCAACTCTGCTCATTCCTAGTGCTCTTTGCCTTGTTTGAGGCAGTTTGTTTGCCCTTCCTCTTCCTGTTATCCCCCAGGACCCAAGAGCCCTAAAGGCCCTTCCTGCCACTGAAGTTGGAGAGTGTACAAATAATCCCTTCTCCCTAGGATTCTTTTTTTTTTTAGGAGGATTAGATAAATTTTGTGTGTTCATTTTAAGAGTCCGCAGAGGGAATTTTCTTCTTTAATTTATAACAAGAGGAGAAAGAGCAAGGTGAAGAATCAATCAGGAGAGGGCTGTAAAACAAATAATTTTTTTCTGAGAACTAAACCTCACTATTTGAAGTTGGTTCGATTTGAGAGAAATCAACTAGTAAGTGGCCCTGTGCAGATTTGTAAGGGAGTAACTACCAAAAAAAAAAAAAAAAAAAAAAAAAAGCATTCTTTCACTTTCTATTGGGGAGAATTACACCACTGGATACTTTCCTGCCAGAGGGTGATGTTCCTTATGTCTTTTATAATTTTTAGGATCTGTTCCAGATCCTGGAGTGGGTAATACTACTCACAGCTGACATGAATGGATGGGACATACGTCACCTGTAAACAAAGTCACATCTTCGGGCACAGCTTTCTTGGACCAAATCTTCGGCTGTCCCACTCTCAGACTCTTTTCAAAGCACAGGTTTTACCTTATTTCATGGTACCATAAAAGTTAGGAACTATCATACTTTTTAGGTGTGAAAATAATTTCAAAAGGACAATAAAATATTACCCAGTAGAAATTTCTTCCTCTCTGCTCCATTAGAAATTCTTTAAAGATTCTGTGACACTATTTTTCTTGAGGCATTATTTCAGTTGTGCCTTTAGCTGTTTTCCTCCCACCCAAAGACAATGCTTGCCCAAATTCTAGGACAGAACTATTGCTTCAAAACACATCATCATGGTTGTCTCTCAATTTTGTTCTCAAACACAGTAAAGGGTTTGGTGGAATTTTGGAGCATGTGCACGCACGCGCATGTGTGCAAGGGTAGAGTAAGATAGATTTAGGTCTGACCTGCTAAAAAATAATTACATTTTAGAACTATATTGGTTGACTATTTGTCTTTCCAAACATCTGTCTAGGGGGAAGTGCAAATCCTCATTCTTTTAAATTTATGATTCCATGCTTACCTTACTGAGTGCAATGTTCCTTAGGATTCCACTTCAATCATTCTGATAAAGTTTTAAGTATTTTCTGATTAAGGAAGGTTAAGGTATCCCATAAATATTTTTACTTATTTTTATTACCTTCTTTTTGATACAGATGAACAGCTTGTTCCTTTTTCCCTTTGAATTGTTTATGCGTGTTAAGCAGATGTCTTCATCAAGCTGTCTATGATGATGTCAAAAGTTTTATAACTAATTCACAATGCATCAGAATGGAAAGAGTAGTTATAAATTGTTCCTTCCAGGGTGCCCTCATCTCTGTTGAATGTCACAGGCAAGAATAAATTTACAGCCTTTTTTTCTCCATGGAAAAATTTCTGAGTATGGTAGATAGATGTTTTTGAATAGTCAAAACCAATATAAGAAATATGCCATAGATTTTATTTTAAAGGAAATATGTAAAATACATCAGACAGAAATGGTGTGTTGTGTGTGTGTGTGTGTGTGTGTGTGTGGCAGGCCAGGGGTGGGATGTTATTTTCAGGTCTTCAGTCGGAAGGCATCTGACCAGCACCAATCATTACTATTGTAATGATCAGAATTACTATTGGGGGCATTGAACTGCATTCAGTTGATTCCTGGTATGATTAGCTTTGGAGGACAAGAAATCTCTGACAAGGTACATATGAGGCTGAGAAGGTCAGGGAAAGGTAAGATCAGCCTCTTTGTGGAAGGCTGCTACTAAAAGAAAAAAAATAATGAAAGGCCATTTTGGTCTTTGTATTCTATGTGTTTTGAGGTCAAGGAAGAGCAAGAGAACCTAGCACTGGACGTGAAACTGGCAGGACAGTCACAAGCCTGCTTTCTAATCTCGCCGGATGGTTAAGGTAACAGAATGAGGGGGTTGTGGGGGAACAGTGGTGAGGTGGTTTGGGGTATATTCTAGATGGGTTGTCCAGTCACAAAGACCCGTCTCCCATTTTTTTGGATGGGTCACACATTTCCAGACATGTTTGCACTATGTGATCATCTGCCTCTCAAAGTCCGTGGCCATGATTCATTGAGCCGGGGCTGGCCCCCTGAGTTCGGTTGGACCGATCAGATTCTCTTGTCCTGCTATTCAGAATTGGCACTTAAAGACAAGCATCTAGTTTTTTTATGTACCTTGAACAGAAATATATGAGCTCAGGAAAATCTGGGATAGCTTGTACTGACCATTAGGATTGGAGACCCTGTGATCTACGGTCTATAGAGACAGAGAATGGTTAAAACAGATGCTTAGGGGAAAACAAAACAAAACAGAAAAAAAGATAGAGGGAGAGTGCTCCTTTTCTAGTCCCAGTGTGCAACCCTTATAGTAGCTTTGGTGGCATTTCAGCCCTTGACTTCCAGGAGATACTCTAGATTCTCTTTTTGCTTAAGTTAGAGAATCTTATTCTTTGTTACTTGCAGCAAAAGAGACATAGCATGATCAGTTCATTGATGACACACCCCAAGTATCTGCCCCACTAACCCACCATTATACATTTGTCCTATTGGTTTGGGGTCATATGTTTTGTTAAGTCCATATACAGCTGTTAGGAAGGGTGTTACTGAAACAAGTATCACATAGGACCAGGCCTGGTGTAGACTGTGAAAGACTTTAGGTCACTTACATGACTTCCCAGATATATTTCCATACCTTGGTGACAATGCCTATTGAGTAGGGGTTTAAGTACAAAGGTTGATGTTTTCAGAAAACCTTTGGATTATCTTCTCTCCACACTAACTCTTTCCTTTCCTATCAATATTTTTAGGGGCTCTGCCAAATGCCGCATGAAAGAGTGGGCTTAACTGAGGATAATCCACAGCTTCTGCTCCAAGAGCCAGTCACCCTATCAGTGAAGAATAAGGGCAAACCTTTGGCTCTACAGTCAGGCTCTTTCTCTGGTATGGGAGGTTCACAGGATGGGTCTTTTTTTTTTTTTTTTTGACAGCATGCTCTTTGGTCCCAGACCTTTTTCCCTCTCCCTGCCTCTACTACCTACCTAGTTTCCTTCCATCAGAGTGAGCTAGACTTTAGCATCCCCTGGGGGAAGGGGAGAAATTTTAGAGTGGCCTCATTGACCTCAACACTCTACCTTAGTCAATCTATGCAGAAGCAGCGATGGTTTAAGCAACCAGCTACAGGCTTTTCAAAGCCATTGCCATGCACTGTGGAGTCCCATGAGGTTATTTATGTCTATTGTTTGGTGATAGTCTACCTCCTGATCTTTCACACTGGAGGAGTCCTGCTGATGGATTGATAAGAAGGAATGTTTTTAAGGGAGGGAAGTGGTGCCCGAACAGAGGAGATACAGAATTAAAAATGTGAAACTCTCTTTTGCACGACAAACAGGTGATAAATAAAACTGAGGGGAGAGTCTGATCAGATCTTCTCTCAGTCAGGGCACATTCGTCCATCTGTAGTGAGGTCTGCTTCCTGGTGAAACACATAACCACACTCCTCCTTCTCTGGACTGACTCCCACACTGATCACAATGCATATGAACCTGTTAAAGGGCTTCTACCAAGCTCTCTTGGAGACTGAACTCCTGCCCCAACCTGTGTCGCATCATTCCTCCCAAGACCTAGACTCCTGATCATTTTTTGAGACCAAGACTCGAAGAAGACTGTAAATTTACAGACAGAGGTGAAGGTGATTCAAAACTCAGCGGGAAAAATACATACCCCAGCCCAAGAGATAATACCAGCGCAGGTGCTGCTCCTCGGTGAACACGGCCACCACGATGAGGGTGTGCAGATAGATTCCTTCACAGAGCATCCAGAAATAATTGCAGGCCATCATGTACTGGTGAAAGAAATGCAAAATCTTGCAGCTCAGCTGTCAGAAAGAAAGGGAAGAAGTCAGTGGAAGATATTGGCAAGAGTGTGACAGTGAACAGAGGGTAAATGTTAATACGAACCAAAGGATCTGCATCCAGCCTGTGAGGGAGTTTCCCTAGGCATCTGTGGACATGTGCCCCCCTCTGTCCCCACAAATCAGAATGACAGTGCATAGACCATTAGTATTGCATTCGTATTACAGGTAAACAGCCATTTAGGGCAATGGAAGCCATGTCCTCAAAGTGTTCTTTTCCTGTTACATTCTGGTGACTTATATAGACTCAACAGGTTGATTTCCCTGCAATGTTTCTGAGCCTACAGTTTTTGAGCGTCCAAGGATTTTTCACATGACTTTTATGGCCCCTTTTCTGTGGCCAATGAGGTGAATAACCCAGAAATTGTTCATGATGCTCCTAAAGTCCATTGATCTGTTGATGTCTCGTTAGCAATACAGAGGAGAGAACCAAGTGATAAATTTCTCATGTAGGAGCCAGGACCTATGCTGAACCCATCTGACGTGAGTGATTTTGTTTTCATATGGGAGGCTTAGCTTCTAAATTGGGATCCACATGTTTGGTGCACAGAGATTAGGAATAGATCCTTGTTTAGTACTCAGTGCAGAGGTAGGGACCACATCTCTGGGGAATCAGATCAGGTACATATTGTCTTTATAGAAATAATCATTGCTTAAACTGCATAACAGAATACCCTAAATTATTTCATAGTCACCTTTAGAATAGGCCTTCTCATTTTAGTACCACAAATATTTTGGACCAGATGATTTATTGTCATTCTTATGAGGTGCTGTCCTGTGCATTGCTGGGCACTTAGCCTTATTCCTGACCTCTGTCCATTAGACACCAGTAGCAGCCCTGACCCATTCATAATATCAAAAATGTCTCTAGACATTTCCAAATATACTCTGGGGAGCAAAATGTTCCTGGTTGAGGATCACTACCCTAAGATATCTAACTGTGCTTAACTCTCTGTAGCAATAAAGACAACAACAACATTTACTATTCAGGACGTTAGGTATTAGAGATGATTATTTGCATTATTATTTTGCCAACTTCTCTGCTTTACATCATGTTGCTCCCTATTGCATTTTGAATCTGACCAATTTCAGGCTTTCTTTTTTACAAAGTAAGAAAGCCATAACATGACTTTCAGCGCTGCACTAACCTTTTCAGGACTGCAGATTTCTATTTAATGCATAGCCCGTAATAATTTATTTACTGAGAATCCAATGTGCTCAATCCTTCTGGGACTCATAGAACATAGGAAAATGCCAGCTGGGTCCACAAGAAAGCAAATACTACATTTTTCAGAGACAGAAGCAACTTCTGATTCTGACCAAAGTGGAACAGCAGTGCACAGAATTCAAAACATCAGGTGACCCAAAATAATTTTTATTTGGCTTAGGAAGGCACTGACTTTTTTTTTTCCTCTATCTGAATACTTTCCTGATTGGAATTATTTGATTTAATTTTATATGAGTTTGCGTTTGCTAAGCAAATACTTGTTAGGTGCACATGAACTCAAATATACAGCTGAAATAAGAAATGCAGTCGATACTCTGCATTCATTTTGAAGACTACTCTTATTTGAAAGCTCTATGCCTTCCGGGTCAAGAACCCCAGTGTAGAATACTTAGGTGGCTGCCACTCATAGAGGAAGAGAGAGGAAAAAGATAAAGACAATAGCCCTGTGCAAAGAGGTGGCTCTTTGTCACCCAGAGCAGTTTGGCTTCATGTTTTATATGCAGTCACTTCTCATTATTCACAATAGTTACGTTCTGCAAAGTTACTGCAAAAACTGAATTAGCAAATACTGAGCTATTGCTCCAAAGGGAAATACAGGGCCAGGTTCCTCTAAGCCTCTGGTCTAAATATTTTCATCCACCAATCAATATATAACTTTTATTTGTTTCTGTTTAAAGAGAATTTATTTATTTTATTTTGTTCATTTACTAACATTGAACTCATGGCTAACAACACTATAACTTCTGCCTGAGGGAAACTCATCTAACATACCTATTTTTTTTTCTGTTAGATACATCATAGTCTTCTTGTGTTTAGGAGGATGACAGCATTTAGGCATTGCACTTGGGGGTCATTTTAAGTAATTAAATCACTAACAAAAAGCACACAAATGTGAAAAATGTGGAATTAAATAGACCGTGAAAAGGACATTTACACTATGTGAGATGAAATAAGAAGACAGAATGTTGCCTTGTACAGAATGTGTACATCAAGAGACTCAGTGTTTTTGCTACTCTGTGCATGTCTGTGAATGACCATGAAAGCCCTGAGAATATGGATTTTGGACTTACAAATAAATTTTTAGCAAGTAAGCAAATTTACAAATATGGAATCTTTGAATAATGAGAATCATTTGTATTTGGGTTCAGGGTAAGATATTTTTTTGAGGCTAAATGGCTCAAAAGTTCACAAAAAGTCTGAAAATCAACAGTCTATTAGTTTTCCCCCCCAATATATCATGGACATAATTTGATATATCTAGATGATCAAGATGATTATTAAAATTTTTATAAAGTTCATCACCACTTAGATCAGTGGTTCATAACTACGGTTGTTCATCAGTATCACCTGGGGAACACTTACGAAATATATATAACCAGACCTTAATTCCCTTGTGTATTTTCAAAATAGGAATTTTTAATTTAGGTTCCTTAGTGAAGAATCACATGCCTAAGATATTCAAGGTCATTCAGGTGCATTCAACAAACATTTATGGAAAACCTATTATGAGACAGGAACTCTAGTATGTCTGTGAATATCAAGATAAATAAGGTATAGTCATATAATCTCTGACTTGATTACAACTCTTCCCTCAAGGATGGAGTTAACCAGGCATTCAACAAAGAGACAGGTCCTCTTACCTAAGGTTAGTCCTCCCCATCATTCTCGGATGGTTTTCTGCTTAGCAGCATGAGGTAATAAGAGATTAATTCTGAGATCAAATTAGCTAAATAGCTCTTTGACTATTCTTCCAGGAAGCAGTCATAATACTATAATTTTGTATAGATTAATGATTTCTTAAATTGCAAGAAATAATCTATATTCAAATACAACTAGATCACTCCCAAGTAAAACAACAAATGTTCCAAGTCAAAAATATTTGGAATTTGTGAATTATGCTCTATTTTATTTTCTTCATTATTATGGGCAACAAAGAGATAATTCTGTGAATGATACGTATCCTAAGAAGTAAAAGCAGTACTATCCACTTTGGCTTCAGATGAATTGTATCACCATTTAGTGTCTTCATTATCTGTTTGTATTTCAATAAAATATAAAATTTTTTGAGCAATAATGTCTCTATCAAGAGAAGAGATCCTACAGTTTTCTTGATTCGGTATACTGATTAGACAAATCTATGTTTTCATCACATGGTATGAAGAGCCTTTATAGTAATTTGATTAAAAATGGAATTGGAATTATGGCAAAAAGATTTTCTTTAGTCTAATCAATTAAGTCAACCTCAAAATTTTATGGACTGTTGATGTTCAGTTGCAGATTTTATTCCAAATATATCTCCCAACCACACTTAAGAATAATTCTTCTCATCTGCGTAGCATAGAAAATAATGTGTGTCAGTGTTTTTAAGAACAATTCAGTGGGGACACCTGGGTGGCTAAGCATCTGACTCTGGGTTTCAGTTCAGGTCATGATCTCAGGGTCGTGGGATCAAGCCCTGAGTCAGGGTCCATGCTCAGCTCGGTGTCTCCTTGGGATTCTCTCTCTCCCTTCCTCTGCCCTTACCCATGACCATTCTCTCTCTCTCTCTCTCTCTCAAATAAATAGATGAATCTTTAAACAAAAACATTCAATGGGGGAAAGAATGCCTCCATAAGAAAACTGCCTTGGAATTTTTTGGTTTTTTAGAAAAGACCAACCTAAGAACAGGTGGTCAGTATTTTTAGGTGTTCTTTGGTTGTGCTGGGGACAAGGGAAGGATTTGGGGCTGAGAAGTAGAAAGGAAATCAGCACTGATCTATGGAAGCAATTCAGGTAATAGTAGGTCACAGCCTATATCCTACTTTTAAGCCATTGAAGAATCTACCATGAACCATTCTTGGTACCTTTGCCCTATGGGTATGTTACCAGGTCTGAAAGGGAGCTAGGGAATACCATCTTGCCTCTCAGAACTCACTCCACCATCTTCAAAATGTCTGATATGCCACATAATTTCATTTCTTTAGTTTAAGACTATTTCCTTATTAAAATGCCATACCTCTGGAAAGGATTACACATTTAATCCTATCATTCATAGAAACCTTAGAGTGGAAGGACTGAAGACATTAAAGGGAATGGGAATGGCGAACCATAGGAAATGTAGATGTGGAATGTGGCATAACAGATACTTCTAACTCTTGGACTGGATTACAGGCATTAGGTTGGAAGATTAAAGTTTTTAAACACCAACCATACCCCCAAGAAACTTAGAGTCTTGAAGGCCCAGAGAAGTGCTGCCAAAGGTAAGCTTTCTACACTGGAAATCTTTGGCAAGGGCCAAGCCAGTGCATATTTCGTTCACATAATATATTTTATATGTGACCAAAACCTCTTCTCTTCTACAAAATACTTGCAATTTCTGCCTTTCATTGGTAAAATGAAGTATCGGTGAACAGGTCCAGCTTCTAAATTAATTCTGTCAAGTCAAAGCCGCCAGGTTTGTCATGCTTTAAAGTAGAAAGTTTAAAGTTTGCTCTAGGTTCAGAGTGATTTCCAGTGATTAAGCATGATTATTTATGTTTCCCTGAAGCTTCAGAAAAGGTTTCTCATCAGTTCATTTTAGCACAGAAGGAAGGGTGCAAAGTTATATTTGCTTGAGCCAAGGAAGAAGAATCTCTAGATATTTTGCTCGAAGGAAAAGACATTTTTAGAAATGCTGTTTAATAAAGAATTGTGGTCTACATTGGTTAAATTTGCCAGGTTAATTTTTTATTACATTTTACTTATTGGACATTTAGAT